TTTGCGGGGACTAAGAACCCCACAGCGGTGCTAGAGTGGATCAAAGAACTTGACAAGATCTTTACTGTACTTCCCCTCCCTGACCGTCAGCGGGTATCCCTTGCAGCTTACCAGACGAAGGAGGACGCTTCCGACTGGTGGATTGACCACTAGGCTCGGAGGCCAGAGGCGGAGCTCCATGCACTCTCTTGGGAGCAAATGAAGATGATGGTGCGCAACAAGTTCCTTCCCCAGAGCTTTTGGGACAGAATGGAGCATGAGTTTTACCACTTGCAGCAGGGCAGGTCCATGGTGGATGAGTATATCCGCACCTTCACTCGCATGTGCCTTTTTGCGGGCGACGCAGTGAACACCGATGCCAAGAAGGCCTGCAAGTTTCTCAATGGGCTCAACCAGAGGATCTGTAAACTGGTGAGAAGTCACGGACTGATGTCCTATGCTGACACCGTGAGTCGAGCTCAGGAGGTCGAGAGCTGTCTCATTCCATTGGCTCCAGTTCCTTCTTTCTATCATGCCTCCCAGCCATCCCAGGCCATTGTCCAGCATGCTCAGCCCCTCTCGTCTGTGCAGCCCAGCTCTAGTTCAGGCAAGAGAAAATCTGATTATCGGAACAAGAAGAAGGGCAAGAAGGGAAATTTTGGCAGACGCGACGACCGACCCACCCAGGGTCAACTGCCGAGGTGCCCTAAGTGTGGCATGTTCCACGCCGGAGAGTGCCTAGCAGACCAGCGAGCTTGTTACAATTGCAACCGTCCGGGCCATTATGCCAGTGTCTGTCCTGAGCCCAAGAGGCAGCAGCAGTTCCCTCCACAGCAGCAGCAGCTTCCCCCACCGCCACCTCATCAGCAGCATCAGCAGCCCCCACCGTTCCAGCAGAGGGCTGGGGGTCAGGCCCGAGTCTATACCATCACCCATGATGAGACCGCTCGCAATGCAGGTACCATGTCCGGAATGCTTTCGATATCCCATGTTCATGTCTTTGCTTTATGTGATACCGGTGCTACCCATTCTTTTATTTCTTCTCGTTGCTTGGAGGCTTTATCTTTTGGCACCGTGCATGCTTGTGATCCTCTCGAGTTTAGTTTAGCCTCGGGAAAAATTATTATATCTGATTCTGTGGTTCGCAATCTCCCTATCTGTATTGGTGGCCGAGTTCTAGAGGTCGATGCCTATGTAATTGATATGCGAGACTTTGACGTGATCTTGGGCATGGACTGGCTCACCCGTTACCGAGCCGATATCCGGTGCCAGGAGCGCGAAGTCACCCTCTATTCTGTTTCCGATCAGCCTGTTGTGTTCTTTGGGGTGAGTTCGAGGACTGTGCCTCGGGTCATCTCTTCTATGCAAGCTAGGAAGAGCTTTCCAAGGGTAGCTGTCAAGGCTATCTTGTTTCCATGGTATCCGACGTCGTTGATGAGCGGGTGCCCGAGCGAGTATATATCGTTTGTGAGTACCTCGACGTCTTTACTGATGACTTACCCGGAGGACCGCCAGACCGCCAGGTGGAGTTCACCATTGACCTCATTCCAGGAGCCGGCCCCATTTTTAAGGCTCCTTATCGTATGGCGCCGAATGAGCTTCAAGAGCTCAAGGCCCAGATCCAGGAGTTGCTTAAGCTCGGTTTCATTCGTCCGAGTGTCTCGCCGTGGGGTGCGCCCGTCCTTTTCGTAAAGAAGAAAGACGGATCTATGCGCATGTGCATTGGCTATCGGGAGTTGAATGCCCTTACAGTCAAGAAAAAGTACCCCCTTCCCCGTATTGAGGACCTTTTCGACCAGCTGAGAGGAGCCAGCGTCTTCTCAAAGATTGACTTGCGTTCTGGCTATCATCAGCTGAAGATCCGGGAGTTGGATATTTCTACGACTGCTTTCCGTACCCGCTATGGCCACTATGAATTCGTAGTCATGCCGTTCGGACTCAGCAATGCCCCAGCCGTTTTCATGGACCTTATGAATAGGGTCTTTCATCCTTTCCTGGACCAGTTCGTCATTGTGTTCATCGACGACATTCTGGTCTATTCCCGAGACATCGATCAGCACAAGGAGCATTTGAGGATTGTGCTGGAGACTCTTCGCCGCGAGAAGTTGTATGCTAAGTTTTCGAAGTGCGAGTTCTGGCTGAACCGTGTGGCATTCCTTGGCCACATTATGACAGCTCGAGGCATTGAGGTGGATCCCAGCAAGATTGAGGCTGTGAGCAAGTGGGATACGCCAAGAAGTGCTGCAGATGTTCGTAGTTTCCTGGGGTTAGCAGGATACTACAGGAGGTTTATCGAGGGCTTCTCGAAGATAGCCCAGCCACTGACCAACCTTACGAAGAAGGCCGTGAGGTTCGATTGGAGTTCTTAGTGCGAGGAGCGTTTCCAGGAGTTGAAGAGGAGACTCACTACCGCGCCTGTCCTATCTATACCCGACCTTACTTTGGAGTTCACCATCTATAGTGATGCTTCGAAGATGGGTTTGGGATGTGTCCTTATGCAGCAGGGGAAAGTCGTAGCCTATGCTTCGAGGCAGCTGAAGCCTCACGAGCAGAACTACCCCACTCATGATCTCGAGTTAGCTGCAGTTGTCCACGCCTTGAAGATTTGGCGGCACTACCTCTATGGAGGCAAGTGTGAGATCTTTACTGACCACAAGAGCCTAAAGTACATTTTCACTCAGAAGGAGCTGAACATGAGGCAACGTGATGGTTGGAGCTGGTCAAGGACTATGACTGCACCATTGTCTATCACCCTGGGAAAGCTTTGTGGTAGCCGATGCCCTTAGCCGGAGGAGTTATGGCCAGCTGTCTTGCTTGTTCACCAAGCAGAATGTTCTTCTTCGGGAGTTCGAGCGATTACAGTTGGAGGCAGTAGAGTCAACTTCGGCAGCCGGGGGCGTGTTGGCCTCTTTAGTTGTGGGACCGACTCTTCGAGAGAGGATAGTCGCCGAGTAACCGAATGACCGTTTCCTATGCCGGATGAGAGAGTTGTCGGAAGCCGGTAGAATTGGTGGTTTCGCTGTCGCATCTGATGGGGCCTTGGTCTTTGAGGGTAGACTTTGTGTCCCGAAGGTGTGGGAGCTGCGAAGGGAGATTTTGAGAGAGGCCCATAGTGCCCCGTACACCATCCATACTGGTAGCACGAAGATGTATCAGGACCTTAGGAAGTCTTTCTGGTGGCGAGGCATGAAGAGGCAAGTAGCAAAGTTCGTGGATGGGTGCCTGGTGTGTCAGCAAGTGAAGGCTGAGCGCCAGAAACCGAGAGGGTTGTTGCAGCCCCTTGAGGTTCCCCTGTGGAAGTGGGAGTGCATCACCATGGATTTCTTAGTGGGACTGCCAAAGTCGAGGGGCGGGTATGATTCGATTTGGGTGATAGTGGATCGCCTTACGAAGTCTGCCCATTTTCTGCCAGTGCGGACGACCATGAAGGCAAGTGATTACGCCGAATTGTTCGTCAAGGACATTGTTAAACTTCATGGAGTGCCCGTGGAGATTGTTTTGGATCGAGATGCCAAGTTCACATCCCAGTTCTGGAGGACGTTGTACCGAGCCATGGGGACGAGGTTGGAGTTCAGTACAGCCTTTCACCCCCAGACAGATGGTCAGTCGGAGCGTGTGATCCAGTACTTGGAGGATATTTTGAGGGTTATGGTCTTGGACCGAAGCCTGACTTGGGAGTATGCCCTTCCGCTAGTCGAGCTGACCTACAACAACAGCTATCACTCTTTGATCAAGATGGTCCCGTACGAGGCTTTGTACGGACGTAAGGTCCGGACCCCTTTGTATTGGGATGAGGTCGGAGAGAGGAGGATTACAGGTCCGGATTTCATTCAGAGTACTGCAGCGACCGTTGAGGAGATCCGGAAGACCATCAGGTCTGCCTAGGAGAGGCAGAAGGTCTATGCTGACCGGGAGAGGCAGGAGCATGTTTATGCAGTGGGAGATCATGTCTTCTTGAAGGTTTCACCCATGAGAGGTATGATTCGCTTGGGGAAGAAGGGGAAACTTAAACCTCGCTATATTGGACCGTTCGAGATCCTCGATCGAGTCGAGAACTTAGCGTATCGGCTGGCTTTACCACCAGACTTGTCGGGTGTGCACGACGTGTTCCATGTCTCCATGCTTCGGAGGTATGTGCATGATCCCAATCATGTGGTGGAATTCGGTGAGCTGCAGGTCGAGCGAGACCTTACCTATGAGGAGGTGCCGGTAGCTATCTTGGACCGGAAGGTCCATCAGCTGAGGAACCGGGCAGTGAGCTTGGTGAAGGTGCTGTGGAGCCGACACGATGAGACTGAGGCGACTTGGGAGAGGGAGGACGGTAATAGGAGGCGTTATCCGAACTTTATGTTTTGAGTTCCCCTTTGTATATTTATTCTTAGTGCTTTCTAGTTGTTTTGTTTTTGAATTCCGAGGACGGAATTCTTTTAAGGTGGGTAGACTGTAACGCCCCGATCAGATAAAATATAAGAACGATGTCACTTGCTCGACTTTAAAGTGAAATCGGTATTTTTCAAACATTTTCGAGTTGTTTGACTAAGTGTTATTATGTGACTTATGTGATTAGACTACGTTTAAGTGATAGTTATGCCTAATTGAGTCTAGTTAGAGTTAAGAAGGTTTAGGACTTGATTAAGAATATTTATATGCCTTAAGCTAGCATGGGTGTCTTAGTATTTTATTCATGGTGTAAGAAGCTTTGTCTTTCACTCCATGTGATGCTGCAACCACAGCACGTTCAGCCCCTAAATGATTTATTTTTTTATTCCTAAGCATGCTAGATAAGTCCAAGACATGCAAGAGTCTTCCCATGTCAAACCTTGGGAAGGGTTGATTCCCCTTGTCCCCTTTTTCCTTCTCCTAAGACTTAACGCCCATTATGAGACTATAACTTAAGTCCCCTCTTCAGCTCAAAGATACCTCATTTAGTCCTCTCCAAGTTAGTGAAGAAACTCCTCCAAACTCCTCCCACAAGAGTGAAAACCGATAGCAAATAGCTAGTGATAGGAGGAGAGTTCGAAATCCCGAGTGCATGTTTGAGAGTGATTTCAAGTTCTACCCATCAACTCTTACTACTAACCACATTATATCACTCTTACTTTATTCTACACTCCCCATGAAACTGTTTTGAGGCCCTAATTTTAACCAAAGTCGAAGGGGTTGAGCAAAGTCGAGAGCAAGAAGAGGAAAGCAACAACCGAGCATATTCGACTTCTTTTGCATTTTTTCTTCAAGATTAAGAGGTTGGTGTGCTCAAATCATTTTAGAATCATAATCTAGATGAGATAAGGAGTTGAAGTATATATATGTGCTATATATGTTCAGTTATGAAAGGTACATAAGCATGCTAAATGTTTAAGTACTCCCAGTTTTCTTGCATGTTCAATATGTTGTGTTTTCATGCGATTTTGACTATGCTATGCAAAACCTGGTATTGTGCAAATACTATGACTATTTCTTGTGGAAAACAAGAGTTTATAGGATCAAGAATCAAGTCTTTTAGACTAGTATAACTCGAGTTATTGAATTATAAAGTTAGGCATGCAAATTGAACTTTACATGCGCGAATTGAGCTGCGAATTCAAACGAGAATAATTCGAGTTCTACTTAGGATAAAATTATAAAATTTTTTGGACATGTTTATATATGTGTTATGAGTCTGCATACCAAATTTTATGATTTTATCTTAAGAATTGAGTGAGTTATGATTTTTACAAAAGATTGTGCAAGCAGTTTTTGAAATTCCGGGCAAAATTGAAAATCATGATGTTGGGCCGTTTTTGAAAATCTTAATGTGACTATGTAAAAATACTATCAACATAAAACCTGTAGTATATGTTATAAGCTTTCTCTGTGAGTTTGAATCATGTTAGTTGGAGTTTTGATTGATTTTATATGATTTTTCAAAGTTGGGGTTATGCCCAGATTTTTAAAACAGTGGCTGTGTTTACGATTGAAATGTATACTCTGAAATAAAGTCTTTAACGTGGTTATTTGTAAAAATGCTCTTCTTGGAACTTGTAGCAATTTAAGTGTAGTTTCTGTAAGTTTTGAGTTTGTATGATTTAGAATTTTTTGGCATGAGATATCTCCGTTTTAGCGACCTGCTGTAATTGATAAAAGTTGCGTTGGCAGATTTCCTTACCTAAGTGTCTTGCGCTTAAACTCGGCTGTAAAGCTATTTTTGGCTTAAGTGATCATCATAAAAGTTGTGTATATATATGTTAACTACTTGTTAGTTTTAGAATCACTTGAATAGCATGCTTGTAGCTCATGTTATCTTGAAAATATTGAGACCATACGAGTTGTTCATTCCCATTTTTGGT